AATAGGGAACTTCACCATGAGATCTTTATTCTCACGAAATATTGATAATTTTTTTAGAAATGCAATGACAAGTATTAATAAATCAATATTTGTTCTGTCTAATGTTTTGATGAGCATTCCAATTACGTTTTTCTTACGCATTTTTCTTTCAACTTCCATATTTTCAGCAATATTTAACAATAAATAAAATGCAACTATAACATAAATTTTTATATAATGATTAAAGCATATTAATAATAATGATTAAGGCATATTAATAACAATAAAATATAAAATTACTAACCTCGTAATAATTGTTCTTGCTTTTTTATTAAACTTTTAAATTTTTTTCTATTTTTTTCAAGTTCTTCTTTTAATTTTTTTACATCATTCTCAGTTACAGTAATAGTTATTTCATTAGATTTTTTTTTAATTTCATAATCTAAAGGACCATCTGTATTCCAAATATCATCAGCAATTTTTATTTTCTTGTCACAATTATCATTTGTACTTGAAAAAAAATGTTAATCCTGTAGTATTTTCAAAATGACGTCTACGTTTTTCCATATCTTCTTTCCATTGATCATATCGACATAATTCAAAATCAATTATATCCATACATAAAGATCCAATCTAAATGTAAAATAATTAATTATATATGTATTATATATTATATTATATATTATTATTTATAATTAATTATATTATATATATAATTATATATATTTATATTATAATTATTATATATATCATATATTCAAATATTTTTTTCAATTTTATTTATTTTATTAATTTTATAGTACTTACTCTATATTCAAGAACAATATTGTGAAATTGACTATATGTTGAGAACAAAAAAAAATATATATAATATTTGTAGATAATTCTATACTACGCCTCCAATCTTCTCTTAAAACTCTGGCTAAAGCACTTAATAAAGATTCTAAAAAAAAATAAATATTAATTATTTATGATGAAATAAATATATACAAAGTAATCAATATCCTGTTACATATTATATAATAATATTTATTACCATTTTTTGTTAATTCATGAAGATTATCAGGTACTCTTGCTAATTGTAAGATTAGTGATGAACCTTTGATTTTGCCTGGTATTTCTTCATATAACAATTCAATATAATTATCAACATTACTAATAACAGCACGTTCTATTTCACCATTGTCCATAGATATTGAATTTGATGATGTTGGTCTTGAAGGTTGAGTATTATCATTGCCTAAAATAAAATCTATATGTATTGAAAAGAATAATTAATATATCCACAATAATTTTTTTTATATATATATTATTTACTTGTACAACTATCACTTGTTTTACGATTTTGAAGATAATAAATCAATTGTTCTACTTCACGAAGTTTTGATTCATGTATTAAAGAACATTTTTCTATCACTTCTTTAGCTAAAAGTGATACATTTGTATCTGCATTTAAGCTTTTTAGTCGAATTATTTTTTGACATTCCTATAAACAGATTTCATTTACACTATCAATGTAATAATCAATAATACTCATAATTAGTATAATAGACTATTAGTATAATAATCAATAATGAATATCAAAAATAAATCCTACTTTACGATCTCCTAACATTGGATCTCCTAATTCACCCAAGATTAATGCTTCAACATCATAGTTTACTACTAAAGCTTTTTCAGTTGGATGTACATCTAAAGTACCGGATCTTACTTTTCTAAGAACAAAAAATTTATTTATTAATTAATTATTATCAGTTAAAAAAGAGATATAAAATATCATAAACATAAATAAACAAAAATTTAAATGTATGAAATTTATTTTATTATTAAAATATTATAGAATATTATTAAAATAATTATAAATTATAATACATAATTAATAAGATAATGACATAATAAAATACTTACCGTTTTAAAAACTTCGCCTCATCCATTTTAATATCTTATTTAATATTGTTTTATAATATTGTCTTGCCAATTTATTAATAATTATTTCATCTTCATAAAAAAAAAGATCAACGATATAATTACCATTTATAGTTGTTTAGAATGTTCGTCGCCTTATTATTCCTCTTTCTTATACCATACTTTTTTTGCTTTAAAATAGCGCCATCTGTTGCAGTTTGAGATACTATTTTTAAAATCTATACTTAATATTTATTTAAAAAAAACATTAGAAATATTTACTAATGTAATCCATTTATAATTTAGAATTAAAGAATTAATATAATTTTAATAATTAAAATTTATCTCGTTCAAAATTACAATTTAAACTATTTTTATATCTGCATTATTTTAATATTTTATTATAAGAATTTTAACATAGAACTTTATATAACTTATAAAGCTTTAATATAACTATATATATGTATAGTAAATAAACATAATACTGATATATTCATTCATATCTAATAATGTAAATTCATGTACAATTATTTATAATTCTACATTTTGCAGGTTTATAACAAATATATAAAAATATTTCAGATTTATGTGATGAAACATATAATCTTTATAATTTCTGTATCTCTTTATTATTTTATATGTATAATTATTCATGTAATGCTAATTAAAACACATTAATTAAAATTAATAAATATTAATTAATTTTAATATTAATAAATTACTAAATAATTAAGAATAATTCATTTTTTTTATTTAAAAAAAAGGCATTATTTATATATATATATTTGTAATAATCTAATTTAATATACATATTTAATATAATAAGTATAAAAATAGTATATTAATAAATTATATAATAATAAGTTAATAAATTCTATAAAATAATATAAAATAATAATTTAAGTTAAAATGATAGAAAATAAATTATTATTAATTATGATACTAATATAGATATTGTATTAATAATGTTATTTGTTGTTCATAAACAAAAGAAAATTCAAATTAAAATAATTATTTATATTAATAATAACATGACTGTAAACAATAAAAATATATTTAAAATCTTTAAATGTTTCTAATATAACAGATATAAGTTTTAATTACTTAAGATATGTTTAAATTTGATAAAATATTAATTTTTTTATATTTTTTATTTTTTTAAGATGCAATTTTATTTTGTATTTAAAATGTTAGGAAAAAATAGATCTTAATTTAAAATTAATATCATGATATTGATAAATTTGGATATGAATATGATACAAATGTGTTTGTACGATACAAGATGCTTTAAATAAAATTGTATCAGAATATTCTAATTCTAAATCCATTAACAAATATAATATTAGCTATAAAAATATATTTTAAATTTGTTGTAACTTAAAACTTTTACATTATAGGAAAGGACAGATAATATTCATTCTTTTTATTTATTTTTATTTATCTTTTTTTCATACTTTTATTCATTTATATTAATACAAGAAAATGTTACATTTTAAATAGAATTTTATATGGATAAAAAGTATTTTAAATTATAGCATATGTTTTTAATAATAACAAAAAAAGGACATTTATTATGGAATACATGTCTAAAATTTTATATTTTACATATATGTATAGATATTGTTTAACAATAATATAATATCAATAATATAATTGAATATTTTTTATGAAAAATAGATCAAATCAAATAGATAAATCTATATTTAGTATAAATTTATAAATGATATTAAATACAGATATAAAAAAAAATAATTTTTTATATTATATATTTTATATTATGTATATTATGTAATTTTGAAATGATATTATTAAAACAAGAAATTGCTCAAAAATGTAATACTATATCAAACTAATATTGAATTAAATGACAATAAAATATGAGATTTTACTTCATCATTTATGATTATATATTTATGATTATATATTATTATTATTATATATTTAGTCAAATGAACCTAATATATTTCTAATTCAAAATTTTGATTTAGAAATTTTTATAGAATTCTAATATTAATATAATTAAATTATAATAAATATATAATTTAAACTATATATTATATATATATATATAATATATACATAATAAATATTAATGTATATTTTATAAGAAAATTACATATAATATTAATAGGAATGTTCCATTTTTAAATATTGGCACATTTTACTGTTATATATATATTTTTATATATATTATACAATAGATATGTACTATTATATTGTTTTATTATTTAATATATTTACAATATATTATCATTATCTGAAATAATAAAAAATTTTTTAAATTTTATTATAATTTAAAATATTATAAAAATTTTAATATTTTAAATTATAGCATAAAAATATTAATAAAGTATATTAATATAATATATTGATAGAAAAATATGTAAATAGAGTATAAATTATATACCCGTCCAAAATAAAATATTATAAATTTGGTTTTACAGAACTCTGAAATTCTTGAAATTGTTTTCTTGCTTCACGATTAGATTGTAATAATTGAATCAATTCTGCACGAATATCGTCATTTTTTTGTTCGAGGTTATCCAATACTGAATTAAGCTGATCTAGTTGAGCATTTATAGCTTCAAATTCTAAAATTATAATATTAAAATATTTATATTTCAATTAATAAAATTATATTTATATATATTTTTTTTAATATAAAAATATAAAACATAAACTAAATATATTAAAAATGTACAAAAAAAAATTGAAATATTTAATAAAACATTTTTTCTATGTTATATATTTTTTTATGCAAAAATACTTTATTTACCAGCATCATTGCAATTTTCTTCATTTTCTTCCCATCCATTTTCATCACCTTCATGATTTTCTTTTGGTTTTACTGCGTTTTGAACCATATTTTTATCTGCCATTACCAATAGCCAATAACTACCATTTTCATTCAATATGTATCATATAGAGTGAACCAAGAATTATAAAAGAATTAAAATTATAATTTATTTTTTATCAATTATTTTTATTAAATTTTTTTCATGGAATATTTTTCAATCAATTTTTTTGATTTAATGAATTAATTTCATTAAATAAAGATAGAAAATAATGTGAGTTCTATATTATTTGCGAAATTATTATTTGTATTTATTTTGATGATTCTTGATTTTTGACTCTTTATATAACGTCTATAATTTATATATTTGTCAGTGTTTTTACAAAAGCTTTTTTTTACAATTATATTATAAATATGTACTTAATAGTAGTCTTAAAGAAAAAAATCAGTATCGTCAAATTCGTGCTACAAATAAAATCGAAAAATTTCATGAAATTATATTCGGTTTCTAAAAATTTATTTTAATGAAGATAAAGAATACAAAATAGAAGATTCTCAAATCTAATTATTTTAAAATTATATACATATATAATTATAATAAATATTTTCATGATTTTTTATATATTTTCTTAATAAATAAATAGAATTTCAATTATAAAGAAATTTAAAAAAATTTCAATATAAATAATAATATAAATAAATTTAATTTTATTAATATAAAATAATAATATAAATAATATAATCTTATAATCATTATAATTGTAATTTAAAATAAATAATTTCATTTTTTTTATTATAATAATTCTTTATTGTAATTATATTATGCAATTATAAAATATAAAAATTATCTTACATCTAAATATATTCTAAAGTTAATATACTTCAAAAAAAAAATATTGTTAAATTATATTACGATAATATATCTTTCATTTTATATTTTTATTAGTTATCTTTTATATTTGTAATACATATTAATAAATATAATATATTTAAATTACAAAATTTCATTAAAAATATTAATATGTATTTCTAGCTTATAATTAACTTTTAATTTCATTACCAAATAATTTTTATGATGTATCAAACAATATAAAACATACTTAAAGTCTACATGTGAATCCACCAGCAGCAATAATAGTTTCACCACTAACATATAAAGCATCATCACTTGCTAAAAATGCAGCAATTCCTGCTACATCATCTACACTACCATATTTTTGCATTGGTATTTTTGATAATAATATTTCTTTTAAGTCACCTTCACGAAGCTATAAAGTATATTATATATTAATGTTATTAAATAATACAATATTTATAGAAAAAAATATGAATATACATACTATTTTTGAAAATTTAGTATTTATAATACCAGGAGCTATGCAATTGACTCTAATTCCTTCAGATACAAGACTTGTAGAAGCCATTTGTGTAAGTCCTAATAAAGCTGTTTTGCTAATGGCATATGCACCTAACAACTTTAATATTAATTTTCATATGTATTTTTATATGAATAAATAATATATATATCTTATATCTATGTATATATCTTATGTATAATAATTTATTATATATAAAAATTATATTAATGTATAAAATAAGAAATTATATAAAATAAAAGATGTATTATATTTATATATAGTATAGTTACTTACTTCCAATGGTGCATATGCTGCTATTGAAGATAAAAGTATTATTGATGCTGATTTGCTTTTTCTCAAAAATGGTAAAGAATCTTTCATTAAGAGAAATGTACTTTTAAGATTTATATCAAAAATTTTATCCCATAATGATTCTGATGTATCAAAAAGAGTACATGGATTTGGATTTGTGCCAGCACTTAATATTAAAATGTCTAAACTACCAAATTCTTGTATAGTCTAGAATATTATTATTATATAATTAATAAATTATATAATCTAAAATATTATTATTAAATTTTCTTTTTGCAAAAAAGTAGAATATGAAATTATAAAATTACAAAATATTGATATAAAATTTTAAAATATTTAAATAAATAAATTTACTCTTTCAAAAAGAGATTTTCTATCTTCATTTTTGCCAACATGACATATAGTACCATAAACATTTAAACCTTTAGATTTAAGTTGCTTTAAAGCTTGTTGTACATTTGATTCTTTACGGCTACTAATTACTACTTTAGCACCTTCTTCAGCTAAACGTTTTGCTATTGCAAAACCAATACTACAACAAATGAAAATAATTATTAAAAATAATTTATTAAATAATTTAATTATTAAATTTCAATCTAATAATTAAATTTATAATATTTTCAATATCTTTGAAGGATTAATTCTAGAAATCGAATAAACGAACGTGTAAAAATTTAATTTTTATTTCATGTTTCTAAAATGATATTATTTATAAAATGATAATATTTTAGTAACATATTACTTACATTTTTTTTTAAATTTTTTTTTTTAAGAATCCTGATTAGATAATGTGATTTTGATACTGATAATTATTAATCAAAATGGCTTATAACTTAAGAAAAAAAAATTTTATATACTTTTATGTTTAAAATCGATCCTTTAGAGGTATTATGTATAGTAATGCATATAACAATATACTAAATTATATATATTGTTTACATTCGATTGATTTAATGAAAAAAAAAAAAAGAAAAAAAATTAGAATATATAATTTTTATGATAAGAAAATTATTATATTTTTTAATAATGATAAGAAAATTATATTTAATTTTTTAAATAAAAGTAAATATTACTTACCCACTTGTTGATGCCGTAACAATTGCTACTTTTTCTTCTAATCGTTTACATTTTATTTTTGTATTATTTCCGAAATTACGATTAATTTGTTGCCAGTTTCGATTTAATGAAGAACGTAGCATTGTAATAAAATAATTTAAAGTCATTTAAACTATAATTAATATAAAATATTATTTAATTAATAAAAGTAACTATGATATAAAATATTAAAAAATAACTATAAATAATTATATAACTAAATAAGCATCTATAAGTTTGTTTGAAGAAATGAATATAGATTATTGTCCACCTGATATAAATTTGCTGTGAACGAATATTATATAAATATGTTATATAAATATGAATTGAATATATAAAAATTTGATAGTACAAAACCTGTTTGGTAGGAGAATAACCGGTTATTTAAATTTGATGTTATAAATTATAATAAATAAGCACTAATTATAGATATAAATTTAACCTATTATAAATATATATGTAAGTCGATTATATTTTTGTTCGCGTAGATTGTTTCATTTAACTAAATAAAATCCGCATTCCATTTATCAACAATATAATATTGTAAATATCTTCCAGACTGATGAAATTAAGAAGAAGAGAATGGAATTTTAAATATTTTAGTTTCAAATATTTATTAATTTTTGAAGTATTGATTAAAATCTTAAGAAAAAATTCTCAAATCGTAAATTTAAACAATTTTGAAACTTTAAAAACATGTAAAAAATATTTGAATATAACAAATATTTTTTTATGGATAAAAATTATATCGAATTATATTACAATAAATTATAACATTTAACATATTTTGATAAATATTACTTAAATTTATTTATTGTTCGACGGCATGTAATCAATGTTATCATTGCATCTTGATTAGCTTATGCGCTCCATTATTTCCTATGTATTTTTTAAAAATTCGTTGACAAAGCTATAATAAATATTTTTATAAATGTTGTTTGAAATTAAAAAATTCAGAAATTTTTAGTTAACGTATATTCCCATATATTATTTCCGGATATTTTTGTAGATATATTTATATTTGTAACAAAACAAAATTTTTTATGCTATTTTATAATTATTAAAATTGATTTTGATTAAGTTTTATAATTAAATTAATTTATTAATTAAATTTTCATATAAAAAAATTAAAAAAATTGTAAAATTTTTATTTATAATTTTTTTCTAATTACATTTGATAAACAATTGATAAATTTTTTATTAAATGATATTCCTCATTAAAAGAATAATTTTTGTTTAAAAATCTTTTCTTTATTTCTTATAGTTCGCAAATTATAACATAAAATATTGAAAGATGTATGAATTTTTAAAAGAAGATATAGGAATTTTATTCTTTGAAAAAATTTGTAAAAAAAAATTGCATAGTACATATTTATGCATTTGTTTAATTTACTAATTAAAAATATCTTGTTAATCAATCTACCGAATAGCTTCATTAATAGCTCTTCATTAATCTTAGTTTGAAATTATGATGATTATAATTAATATAAATATTATAAATTAATATTATAAAATTATAAATATTATAAATCATTTTAAGCAATTTCTTTTTTTTGCACATAATTATCGATCGGCCTTAGTTTTGAGATATTTGCAAAAAATAATAATTATATTATACTATATGAAGAATTATACTATATATGTTGAATAACTATATTGAATTTCGTCTACTATTACGTATATTATTTTATATATGTAGCAGAGTGTGATAGATATGCTAGATGCAACCACATTTATATATAAAATATATCTCACACTTAATATCTATTGTTATCATTTTAATCGCTCAAAAATTATTTTATATTTTATGTTTGTATTTTGGGGATTTGAAAAAGAAATGTCTAAGTTTGCATGAATGTATATTAAATATAGTGGTATTAATTTTCACTTAATATATATTTCTATTATTTATTTTGGATATTAATTCCATATATTTTTTTTCATATATAAATAGATGGATTATAAATACAAATAAATTGACATCGCTATTGTATCATTGGCTTAGCAACAATATATTTGAAGGTCATTGGTAATAGAAAGAAGTAGGAAACTAGATTCATTAACATAATGTCAAACAATGATAATGAT